TGAACGCGACAAATTGAACGCAACAACAATGTTCCGTAATGAAAGTAACATTTTTTACTTATAAAATTGATGTTTATCACGTGCTACGCTCTCACAAAAATCAATTTTGCACATTCCTGGCATTTTTATTCTTTTTTGTCTACTTTATTAACAAATATAAAAAAGATTCAATAATACATTGAAAGATCTGTGTCACAACTTTTGACACTTGTCTTGTAGCGCTAGAAGTGAGCTGTCAGACGCTTAGATGCAGGACCTTCGGCACAAACACCGTTTAAATATTCAACTAATTACATTTGGCATAAAGTGCCAATCAAATAATTCAACCTTCTCCCCGCTTTATCCTTCAGAACAGAGCAGTTTTTAAACACCGTAATCATTTACAAATAAAACAATACAATTCCAAACATATATTTGATTAAGTGTATGAGGCTCCATTGAAACCTATCAAATTATACGGGTTTTTGTGAGTTGAGAACTTATTTTTCTGCCAGATCCTCGTTTTGCACTTCCGCGACTTATTTTCGCGGAAAAACCGAAAATTTTCTCTTGCGCGCATAAATATTGCAGCAGGAAATGCCATTGTTCTAAATGCTGTGTGTGTATGTGTTTGGATTAATAGCAGAAAACCGCATTGAAACTGGATTTAAGGGAAGCTTATTACTTTAATGTCGGAGTTACTACTTTAAACTTTGCAGCCGAACCTCGAGAGCACTTGAAAATTGGTGTACTTGAAGTATTCCAAGGCAAACAACATTTTTCACCAACGAGAAATGATTAAATTCATTCAAGTTTTCCATCTTATCTCATATCATGTTAAATAACCCAAAATGATGAGAATATGTCTTGACTGAATGAAAAAAAAACAAACAAAACACTGACATTCAAGAACAGAGAGAGAGAGAGAGAGAGAGAGAGAGAGAGAGAGAGAGAGAGAGAGAGAGAGAGAGAGACCTAGAGAGTTTCTATGAAAAGAATTAAGTGTTGCTCAACAAATGAAATGCATTCACATTCACATTCATCACTTTTGAACCCTTTTTTAACGTTCGGGAGCAAGAACAAAAGTTTTCGGAGAGATTGGATGACAAGCAAATTTTCTTTGAGCCATTGTAAAATATATCATCTTTGGCATGTGTTTGTCTGTTGATGTGAGCATGAGAGAGAGACAAAGGAATGGGAAATGTACACAAGAATTTTGATCGCGCATCATTCCCAAATGAATCGAAACAACGAGCAATTCCATTGCGATTACAGACATTTCTTTATCGCTCACCGAATCAGTCCGGGGTATCGGTTTACCGACCACGTTAAAATTCATTACTATCTAATTATAAGTTCCCGTTGATTTTTTTCTTTTCAAAAAATATATGACAAATAAAAAAGTTAAAAAGAAATGTGCAAATGTTTTTACGAGCAAAATTAATTGTTTTCTTTCGGGATTGCAGACTGATTGAGCTATTCGTTTTTACGCTTTATTGCCAGATAAAAACCCAACGCTTTATTGGTTTGTTTTTATGATTGCTCCTTCTTCTTCTTCTTCTTCTTTTCCCTTCCCCCGTCGATGTGTGTGCGCTTTTTCTCGTCTTTTTCTTCTCTCAAGTGCTCATCTGTTTTTAGTGCAAGTTTTTCCAGCGCTGTTTGCATTTGTAATGCAATAACTTCAAGCAAACTGAACATTATCAGCGGAATATAGGATTTATTTTGTTTTTGTTTGCGATTTGCTCTCATTCTTTTTTCTTCCACATTTTATTCGCTCTTATATTCATTCCCATTTTTCCATCAGCGATCGGTATTATCCCATACCCAGTGATTTTAAGAGGAGAGAGAGAAAAGTCGTGAAAAGAAATTGGATACGATTTTCCATGAAAATGGAATCGAGTTCGATGCATGATTTTGATATCATAAGCAAAAATTTTGCCGTTTCCGATGTGTGTGTGAGTGTTATTTTTGTGAGCAGATTTGCGTACATCATGTTTCACTACCAATAACACAAAATATGATTACGACCGTGGAAGAGAAAATGAGAAAAAGAGAGAGAGAGAGAGAGAAAGAAAGAGAGAGAGAGAGAGGTGGCGAGCATCGCTTTAAGAACAGCCGTAAATGCTGTTGTTGCAGCGAAATTCGACTAGGTTTGACAAATCTAATGTTTACTATAATGGGCAGCATTGCATTCAGCATGTGAAACAGAATATTTCAATAAACTCATTCATAAATCCAATTTATATTGCCATCGCCTGACGAAACGTGTAAGTGTGGTTTTGCCGTCTGGTACACTGCATCTTGCACTTTCCACTTGCACACACATATCGAACTGTTCATTTTCATTGGTTCCAATCAATGCGAAAATAACTTTCATTAAATGCATCAAACTGAATATTCCGACAGCTGAATACTAAACGGATGAACGATAAGCTTAACAGCTTGTATTAACTCAACGACGCTCTTTGAATTTTCTAAAATAAAATGAGCCGATATTAATTTGATTTACTTTGAATGCATTAAATTAGTGAATGGAAGTTTCAGTATGAGCAGCGCACAAAACGATGAGAAAGAAGAAGAAGAAGTGGGATGAAGAATGGCACATAAAGAGAGAAAGCGAGACGATGTGCTTTTCTCGCGTTTCGTCTACGACAGTTTTGGTAAATCGGTGTTCAATCTCGACTTTAATCGATAAAACGATCTCGATTACTGGCGCACATTTCGCTTAAAAATCGTTTTCTTTCTTCTTCTCCTCCACTTCTTGCTACATTAGGGAGGGCGGGAGTTGCATATCCAAATGGGATGGGATATTTTTACGTTGATTGATGGTTCCAAATATTGGGAGCTAAACGCATTTTGGCCAGCATGAGGATTTAGTAACGATGATGCCGACGTTATGCGATAAATAATTTCTTTTTCAAAAAATTGTTGTTGTTGTTTTTGTTCCCTCTCTCTCTCTCGCAATAATTCGCATTCGAAGCGTATGCCATTAAAATTCTGGCAGAATTTACTGCTCGGTTGCAATGGTGAATCGGGCCCAAATGGAAAATAAACAATCAAATAAAAATGGCATAGCACGAGGACATAAAAACGAGGCCACTGAAATATACCGGTCGAAAGAAGAACAGACACACCGAATGAAAAAAAAAACTAGTGGAGTCAGCGCACGGACGTGGCACCTGTAATTATAAATCTTAGTCTACAATTTCTGCCGGTTTGAAAACTTTGGCCCCCAATTATGGAACAGCAAGCGTGTTGCTATCGGCAAACATTTAGCCATGCTCTTTCACCTTTGTATGCTTGCTCTCTGTACCCAAAATTTAGCTCGAAAAAAAAAATACCGAACACCTATGTAGAAGAGGAATATAAAAAATGCCGAATGATTTACTATACTATTGGGTATTCATCATGCTGATGTATTTTTTTTTCTCTTCTTTCGTTTATATGCGAAAATGCGAGAGCAGATATTAGACGGGCGAGCAAACAACAACAACAGCAACAGAAAATATTGTCTTTTTTTAGCCTGCTCTCAATCTTGATTTGATGCTGCTTATCGAATTCGAAGCGACATTTTCATTCTTTTGCCACCGCCCTTTTCAATAAAACCGTAGCGTAAACAACACGGGTAAGACATTTCGTGATACGATCGCTTACTTTTTTCCCGTACATTTTCTCAGTGGCATATTTTGTTTTCTTTTTCTTTTTTCGTTTTGGCTGCTCGTTCGCCACCATCGCCACCGACGTTTATTTTCGCTCAAACATTCTTATCCTCTTTCGATGCTCCACTTTGCTATATTTTTCTTGTATTTACTTTTGGATGCCAATCCGAAATCCGAAAAAAAGTAGATTGTGAACACTTGTGTGTGGCATGGCAAAGGCGAACGCTTTGTATTCCACAACTGATATGGACTCTATTACTCACTCTTCCTCCCTCCATCACCTTCTTCCACTTTCTTTGGCATCTCTGAAAGACAACGAACCAAAGACACACACACACACACAACACTCCCCAAAAAGGAAACAAACGAAACGAGCACAATAAAAAATGTTACAAATATATTATACGCTCGAATTTGATCGCCCGAATCGCTATTGACATAAGCGTTAGAATTTAAGTGCCTGTACACGCAAACTGACACGATAATATTGACGATGACAAGTGCGAGATAGATATAAATTCGTTGAGTTTATTGCTCTAATATTTGCTCGGTTCAATAATTATTACGCAGCCTCAAAAAAAAATGGGTAGCAAACCTCTTTTTTTGTTTCACTGTTGCGACAAAATAGCGAGAACAGCATACACCTAGCACCTAGAAAAATACGAGAGATGAGAGAAAGAAAAAAAAATTAGAAAATTTTAGTACATAGCACCATAAGCGACACGTTCTCGGAAAAAGAAAAGTGCTGAATTTTGGTGTTATGTATGCGTGTATGTGTGCTGCAGTAGCTGATTCCATTTCTCAATCGATTTCGATTGCCATCCTTTGCCACACATCTCTTTGTGTCTATGTTTTCTGACAGTTTCAGAACCGATTGGCCACGTACACACACACACACATATAGCGCGCGCGAATCAATATAACGACACTTCAACACTTGGATTATACGAATAATATGTTTAGGATTTTTATTTCGATTTCAAGCTGTTTTATTGCGGTTTTTATTTTATTTTCTTCACATTGCGAGATAAACGGTCCACCATTTCGTTCCCGATGTGTTGGGTGTTGTTGTTGTTTCTTTTATCGTTTCTATGTTCCGTTTGTCTCACCATTGGAAATATTATACAGTGGCCAACTAATCTCTATTGTTAAATAGTGTGTAACGCTAAAAGCGATCGACAGAAGAAAAGAAAAATACTCGACCATTTGGCCAACAAATAACCGTCAATCACTGATACAATACAATTAAACAGATGCTTTTACTCACTGCCCGTTTTTTTTCTCTGTTTGTCTCTCGTTTCATTTGTTTCATTTTGCATGGATGCTGGGGACACATTCACGTGCGCTCACGCTGGACAACAGAATCTAAAAAATCAAATAATGACAACAAATCTTTGGGTAGAACAGGTATGTGCCATAGAAATTAATGTATCTTTTTAGCAATAAACCAGACAATTTATGCGCTTAATTTGACTTCAGAGAACGACCATTTGAACCATATCCCATTCGCTTTCCAACGTTTGTATATCGCCCATATTTTACCATGCAATACATTACTGGCGCAGTGGGTTTTTTTCCACTCTGGTAAAACCGCTACAAATTTGTACACAAATTAAATGCACACACCAAAGAAAAACAACGGGAACATAACGATCTGTCGAAAGCCATCAACCGTTTTTCATTTAATTTTTGAACGATTTTCACAACATGGAATTTGGATGGATAATTTTATGCTGGTCGCAATAGACTTACTGACCCATCCACTAAATTTCAATTTTGGTTGGCATTGCGATAGCAGTCGTCGACGATATAAAATCACATATCTCTGAAATACCATGTTAATGAAGAGGAGAGCGAGCATCGCGCGAGAGAGAAAACGGACTACATTTTATGGCACAGGGCAATTGAATGGGGTTTGGGTGCAATGCCGCCAATATTGAAATTTGGTTGAGAAAAACCAAAGCGTCGACAGCGTCATTCCACATATCAAACAATGTATTGATATTCGATACAAAATCGTGAACGTGTACTTTGTCTTCGGGTTCGTTGGTACTTGTTTGACCAAAAGAAAATGCGACATTTATTTGAGCTTTTTAATCGTATTAACTAATCGTTAAATTGCCGGTTTAAGTACGACCGATATAATATACTTTGTTTAGCCTTATTACCTTGTCCCGATGGTTCACCATTCGAATTTGTTACCATCAATTGAACGGAATGGACCAATTCCAGTGATGAATAGTCACCAGTTGGTTGATTTTTTTCCTCTCTCTCTCTCTCTCTCTCTCTCTCTCTCTCTTTCTGTCCTGCTCATTTTCTCTCTTGCATCATTTGGTACAGCCCTTTGCAGTTCAATATAGGAGTTCAATTAGGCATTTGATTTGTGTATAAAACGAAATGAAAAACATTTTTACCGCGTTTATATGATGCCGTTACTTTGACCGGGGATTTTTGTCGATGGGCTGGATGCACGACTACTTCGGCCGTCATCAAATCTGTGTCGCAATGTGATTTTTGTATTAGGAAAAATTTAATCTTCATTTCATGTTCCGAATCCGATTTTGAATTGCTTCAATGAAACTGTATGATGACCGAGGGGATTTTTTTTTTCGTCGTCGTATTGCCAATCGATTTTACCAGTGTTATTGCCATTTGCCCAACAAGTTAAAATTGTATCCTTTACAGTCATGGTACGACTACAAGCTGAGGTGGGAACCAAAGGAGTATGGCGGAGTGCAGATGCTTCATGTGCCCAGCGATCATATATGGCGACCGGATATTGTGGTGCGAGGAATACCGAAACCCTAACCTATCAACATTCGGTTTGAATGTGTAACTACAATTTCACCTGTTTTTTTTTGTTCTTTCTCTTTTTTCCCCACACTTCATATCGTTGCGACACCATCGTTATATACACACACCACGTGTAACAAACATTTAGTTGTACAACAAGTAAGTATGATACACACACAGTATTGTATCAGCCCGATTCAATCTTATTACATTTTTTTTCTGTTATTGTTCAATAACGCTATTGACGGTTTATCAAGATTTCAATCACTTTTCGCAGTATAGAGACTAAAAAAAAGAGCAACGAATATTCATTTTATGCGCGCGTCAAACGAATTACAATCGCCCGAATCAGAAATGTACGTTAATGTGTTTTCCGGCCGATGTTCTGGAAAACTGTTGAGCTATAAAAATAAAAATGTCTGAAGAGATTTTCGTAAATGCATGAATGCGTTGCAAATGAAAATGGAACGAAACTTCTTCTTTTTTCTGAAGTGTAAGCAACTTATCCACTTTGGCAATTGCCGATTATGAAAGCAGCTTATCCCATTTCTTCATAGTTAACAGCATTAAGAGTAGTCAAACAAAATGCTACGATTGAACGATTTTCAGTCGGTTTGAGCAAGTTGGACTTGACACTCACTTAAATTTTAGTCCATTTTTGTTACAGCGATTAATGTTCAATAACGAACACAGAAGTAGAAAAAAAACACCTATCGTCAATATTAATTTGTCAAAAAGTTTAGAAACGTCCAACATTTCAAAAGTGCATTACTCGAATCAATGCGACACACGTCAGAAAAAAGAATTTTGAGTGAAATTGATTTTTTCCGATGAATTATCTCCGTAATATTTTCGTTTATGTGAAACGAAGCTGAATGCATTAAACGTTGAGAGGATGTAAAGCAAACATAAAAAAAGATAGATTGCACTCCATTTTCATTATTAGATAGGACAAACTAAAAGCGATTTTTAAAAATCACTTTAAATTCATCAATAATTACTTAAGCGACTCTCATTCTTCTATTCGCAAATTGGAAAGCGAACACAGCGGTGTGTGATTAAAAAATCGTTTTTCGTTTTGATTACATCAAGCTCAAACCGACTAAACCATTCAAATGATGTTCGACTTCTGATCGTTCATTTTGTTTATAATTATCACATTTTCCGATTTTCATCACGTCAGATACTATATATACCAAATTGAAATCAGATGCAGGAAGACATGACATCCGAATGTCTCTAAACCGAATTTAATTATACCGAAAATTGGCTATGACTGTTCAATAATCACTCGGTATCGAATGCAGAGAAGTTTGAAATTCATTCCGAAATTCATTCTCTCGCAACCTCTCTCCCTCTCTCTCGCTCTCCCTCTGTTCCTCCGGTTTATTTTGAATTTGATTTTAATCTGAAGATACAAACGATTAAACATCTACCGAATACATGAAATGAATCGGAAAATGGAGTTCAAAGTTTGTAGTTCGGTTCTATCTTCAGTTCATTTTTTTCTCTCTTTTTCCCCATCTGTCGAGTTGCCCTCTCCCGCACACATTCTCTCTCTCAATAAATGGTTGAAAAGCCAATTATTGTTGGTTCATTAGATTTCAAGTATAAAAATTGGTTTTCTTTTTCGCTTGATTGTCATTGAGCATTTTCGTAATGTTAAAAGGTTCGATTAATTCTTCTTTTTTTTCTATTCCATTTCCTCTCACTCTGTGTGTGTGTATGTCTTTCTGCTTGTTCGCTTCGGCAACGAATTTGCACTTGATTTCATTTGAACATCGGCATGCGAATTTAGGGAGGGAAATATTCGACGAACGAATCAGCCGGCAGGCAATCGAAGAAAATGCGCCCAATCAAATTGGTTTAATTTGCGAAAATGATCGCAATTTGTTTGTTGTTCAATAATGCAACGGCAAAAACGAGCGGCTAAACCGAATAGTCAAGTGTACAAATATGCATCGTCAAACGGGCAAAGTGTTTCTTTTTTCAATTCTGTATTTTACCGCCATGAAGATGATTTTATGCATGCAAACATTTATGCACAACGAGAACGATGTGCAAAATGACGAATGAAAATTTTGCATTTCCATTGAAAACAAGACGACGCAAAAATTTGCCTTTTTTACCATTTGCAACAAAAACACACGCTCGAATTCAATTGAATTTGGTTCACAGATTATGTGCCATGTTTATGAAATGTCATGGAATTCAAGGCGATTCGCAGGCACATAGAACAAAAAAGTAACAACAACAAGAGTCAAGTGGATGAAGAAAAATATAACATAGTGAAATGCAATTAGATTGTGGCATGATGATAACATGGATATGATACAACAATTTTTCGCGCAAATGCGCGTAGTCATGTGACTGTCATTGCAGCGACAAACACTAAAAAAAATTGAAGTCGCATAAAAATAAAAGTTCGTCAAAACTTTCCATTTTTTTCCCCGTCAGTTCCCATTTTGGCAACACTCTCTCTCTCTCTGTTTATTTTTTCTGTGAATGAACATTCGCATTGGGGGCAGCAACTGCTGAATAAAGCCGACAAGTAAAGATTTGTGATATCAAAATTTTTCATTCGGTACAATGTGTAGGTGGAGCGCGAGCGCGTTAGCCAAACACGTGCATGTCTCATACACACATTTTACAGTGGTCTCTACATTTGAGAGAGATAGAGAAAATCTCTCATGTACTATCATACACACAACGAAACTGTTATCACTGCCATGATTATTGTGTTGTCAAACGTAATGCTATTGTTGTGATTTGTTACTAGAGCAAAGCGAATATACAATGTGACATTTTTTCAAATATGACAATCGATCAAATGTATTTTTATTTTGGTCTGCGGGCGCGCAATCAAACGAAACAAGAAAAGCATACATATAGTATATTTGACACCAGCAACAATGAACAAATTGCAACCTACAAGGAGACGAAGCGGAAGAACAAGAGAAGAAAAAAAAATGAAGCAGCCATGATTCTCTAGGAATACAAATAATGAATATGTCGCGAATTGTACATAAATGAAATTTGCTTGAAGAAATGGAAAACATCTGTTTTCATATCATATTATTACATGCGAAATATAGTCATATATTATGAAGTCTGGCATCTGTGTCACTCTATGCTGCTAAATTGTCACAATGCAAAAATGAATGAGCTGAAGCGCGAGCGGATGGGCGCGCTCGCGCAACCCACAAACCGCATATATATAAATGGAAAACCGAGATAAATTTATTTAATAAATATGTGCCAATGGTGGTGCCCATATAGGTACGTTGGTATATGTGAAGTTTGCCTGTGCCTGCACCTGTGTGTGTGTTGCATAAGAAACACAGCTCGACTGTGTGTATATCAAGAGCAAAAACGTTAAATCTTACTTATCACTTAATACACTCATTTGTTCGTATTGAGCCATTGCTTTGAAAGCCACAACAACAAATTCAAACATCCAACAAATAATACCGCGCCATGTGAAATTCCGTTAAATGACTAAAACTGAAGCAAAAACTGTCAACGTCAATGCAATGCATTTCATGCCATTCACATCGTCGTTCAGTGATGTGCTGGTGATTACAAGAAAATCACTTCTATTTTCAGCTCAATACAATATATGTCACCCAAAGACGATTGCCAGATACATATTACGACGGCATGGCAACATGATTTGGGATTTGACAAAGACCGAACATGAATGTGAAAATTATTATCAAACCAAATGGTTACGATCGAAACAAAAACGCCACCGTACATTTGTCGTTCATTATTTTTCATTTGAGCGTGTGTTGGAGTGAGCAACCTTTTTGCAAATGTATGCATACATAATGTGCCCATTCTGTATGTGTGTTTCAGGTTTTTTTAATCCACTAAAAACACTCGCATCACTTGATTCTCGGTGTAAATTTCAATTCAATCCGTGTGAAAGCGTTCTCTCTGGATTTTTGCCTGCCATCTTTTTGTTCCGCATCGTACAATAGCTACAAAGCATGAACTAAAACAATCAAGCCGTGTCTCAATTGTTTTTCCGTCTATCAGCCAATTACTCAACCTATAAGAATATTAAATATTTTTCGGTGATGTTTGAACCGAAGTAGATAAGAACCAAATTTAGATACTTCGTGTGGCTGAGCGCAAATTTTTTGGCCATAAACAAAATTCCAAACTAATCAACACACACACACACACACACTAGCTGTAGCAAACTACATCGAAATAACATTGGTGGAGTACTACACTGAGTTCGGGATAAATTAGATGTTGTTCTTGTTCTTGTTAGAGAGGGACACAACTCTCTCTCTCATCCCCTTTGTGTGTGTGGGTGTGTCAATGCCATATTATCTTGTACGCTTTTTCTGAATGTGTTAGGAAATTGATAGCCAATGAATTGACATTTTTGCATTATACTCGCTCTCGACTAGCTGCAAAGATAGAGAGACTGTGGTGGTCGAGTTTCGATGCGGTTTTTCCATGCATATGATATACCGTTTGTATTACACAACAACACAGTTTGTTGTTAAACACATCTGCTCTCGAGATAGATGGCTTCAATCCATCCAAATTATTTGTCATTATTTGAGGATTTGTATGATAGCAATTGCTCCATAATTTACCATGTCATGCAATCGACGGAATGAACAATTACGCCTGTGGCATGACATTGCTTAAACCAAAAGCCTTCAACCAGCTTCAGTGTGCCTCGTCAATTTTTTGTTGTTGTTTCTTTGCTCTCTCTCTCCTGCCTTCTTCATTTAATCGTTGGTGCTGTTGTTGTTGGCCATTCCGCAATGTATCTCTTCATCATTCGTTTATATGTACAAAGATAGTGATGCTAACGGAAACAAAATACTACCGACATCTAATTCAGTCGTAGTTTCTTCCGTTTTTTTTTCTCGCAAAAAATCAGCGCAAAATAATTAGAGCTCACGTGCCATTATGTGAACGGAAATTACAATTGTGAATTGAATATTTCAGGCGAGAGAGAAAGAGAGATTTTTTTCAAAAATCGTGACATGTACACGATATTGATGCGCATATTCGCGACCTTCTTCAATTAGAGTGTTGTGAGGAAAGAAGAGATTCATGTCACTTGAGTGGATAGCTATGTTGAATATGCCGCACGTACATCGATTTATTCATAAGAAAAAACCGTGCGCTCAAGCTTGCCCCCGCACACGCACACACACACATATCTCCATCTTTTGTCACAGTGAGTGAATCATGATTTTTAATGGCTTAAAATGCATAAACATAATGCTATATGATCTGACTGTGAACTCGTCGTTGTTGTCGTAACTAAGTGCTTGTTTATTAATGTTTGAATGGATACTTACGAAAATCATTAATTTCCCTCCTCCAGTCGCAGTCGCTTTTCAACAAAGCAAAATTTAAAATAATAAAAGAAAAGAAAATACGAAACGCTGGGCATAAATATGGGAAGCCATTGTTTTTAAGTCAAACGTTATCGGTAGTGGCAGTAGTCAATTAATGTAAGAGAGCATCTCGTACAGGATATTTTAACGCCAATTCCCGTCTAATAAAGTCAGTATCGAACATGCGAAATGAGACAATAATAGATGCTACAGGCGAAAAGTATTCTTTACATAATTTATTGTTATTTAATGGTGTCATTAGCATTAGCTTGCCATGATTCTGCTTCATTCATTTAAAGTTGTCGTTGGTTGACTGCGCCACTGTCACCGCTGCCGTCGTTGCTGCGACATTTTGTGTGTGTGTGTGTGTGTTTGTTTGTGTTTCAACCGGCAAAATCTTCTCAGAGGCTACACAATTAAACATATGATATTGTCTTCTCATTTTGTACGCATTCCGTTCGTAATCCCATGTAGTAAAGCGTCGTGAAGACGTACCAACAACCATGGTGGAAAAAGGGGATTGAGAGACATTTCCAGACACACAGAGATAGAGAAAAAGAGATAAAAGCACACCAAAAACACACATTTACACAAACACACCCAAACGATTGACGCTTCATTGAAAACAAAACAGGAAAAAAAGAGAATCGCAGCAGCAGAGCAAAGTCATTTTTAATAACGGCGGCTTACAATCTTACTGCCATCGTTAAACGATGCTGCTTGGCATGACTCTGCGACGTCGGCGAATTGTGTATGTGTTTGTGTCGTTACCAAGATAATATTTCTTTTGAACTTGACTTTAAGCCATCATTTATCAATGATAGCCACAACTATTTTGCTGCTAATGCTGATTTCGACGAGTTCACACAGAGAGAGTGGAAGAGGGAGAGTGAATTGCACTTAAATCACAGATATTATAGAACTCACACTAGACTGCTTCAAAAAAAAAAGTTGTCCCTCATCTGAAAAGTCCAGCCAGTTTCGAAAAATATACCTCAAAAAAATAGGTTTTGTCTAAAAAAAACGACATGGGTACCATAGAAATTGGTGAAGCAAGCCCCATATCAAAATTTTGATGACAGAATTTTCGGAAGCCATTTTAGATCGCAACATTTCGACCGATTCCATTATTCTAACCTAATTTGGGCAAAAAGTGTTGATGGGGTTTTGTTTGGCTCGTCAATATCTACAACTTTTACCAAGACATTAGCCCTTGAAAAGGCATTCTGGGCCAGTTACAGTATAAAATGACCAAAAAAATGGCAATTTTTCGGCATTTTTTGCATTTTTCCCTCTACTGGCCACCCAGGCGTTAAACTTTTGTTCAGTTTTGGACTTGTATCGTGTAGCTAGAACCTATACAAACATTTTGGCACTTGTCAGATTGCAATTTGAATGAAATTTGGCGACAATTGATTCACACATATAAGACAAATTTCAGGTCAAAATGAGCAAATCACAAACATGAGCTTCGGTTTGACAGGTAAAAGCAAATGATTTCTACCTGTTCTGCCTTTGAACATCTAGTATGATCCCTTGCGAACATTTTAAGTACTAACACGACCAAATCGAGTGATATTTTCACATATTTCTGGCCTCATATTCGATTTCAACTCCCAAAAAATCGACTTTTGACTAAAAAATTCTTAAGTATAGGCTTT